GGTTTGGGCTTTGCTTCTGTGAAGACTGACAGCCTTGGAGACCCTGTGGGCAGTTCCACTCTGTCCTCTAGGGGCGCTGTGGGTCTGATCCACTCCATAGGAGTAGAGTTTTTTGGGTTTGTGCCTACTCTGCTTTTTTATGTCTCAGAAGTGATTGGTTTAAGACACACCCTACACTGATACGACCTCATTAACATAACAAAGAAAGCCCTGTTCCCAGACACAGTCACAGGTATCTTGTTCTCAGGTGTCTTCAAGTAGACTTCAGCTCATGGAATCCCCGGGGACACAGTAGAATAGAACTGTCCCATAGAGTTTTCTAGGCTGTAATATTTACAAAAAGCCCTCACAACTGGACCAAGAAGCAACATCATGATAAATGGATAAAAGATTGAAGTTATCAAGGGTTTCATTTTACTTGATCTGTAATCAATGCCCATGAAAGCAGCAGTCAAGACACCAGGGGACATATTGCACTGGGAAAACCTGTTGCAAAAGACCTCTTTAAAGTGCTGAAGAGCAAAGATGTCACCACGAGGACTAAGGAGCACCTGAGCCAACCCGTGGTATTTCCAGTCGCCTCATATGCATGTGAGAGCCGGAGACTGAATAAGGAAGACCAGAGAAGAACTCATGCCTTCGAACCGTGGCGTTGGCAAGAACCCTGGGAACCCCAGGGACTGCCAGAAGAACAAACATCCTGTCTTGGAGGAAGCACAGCCAGAATGCTCCTTAGAAGTGAGGGTGGCGGGACTTCATCTCACGCCCTGTGGACGTGTTGTCAAGAGGGACCAGTCCCTGGAGAAGGACATGGTGCCTGGTAAAGTGGAGGGTCAGTGAGAAGGGGAAGCCGTTCAATGAGATGAACTCACACGGTACCTGCAACAGTGGGCTCAAGTATAGCCGCCGCGGTCCAGCCGAGGGAAGGGGAGAGCCGAAGATGAAGAACAAGGAGAGGCTCAGACTGACGATCTGAAGCAAAGCTTTATTTTTTGCAGGCATAATATATCTATTCTGAGTTCAAAGGCACAGTCACAAACTTTCTCAAAACTTCTTGTTCTTTCCCACGGACACTATACCCCAAAACACAACTTGCTAATCATATCAGTTCTTATAGAAACTCCCTGTTCTTAATAAACATTCTTGTCTGGGAACTGGGAGCATGAGAAAAATAACTTGTACTTGCACCTGCATGCTCAAGGACAAACTTATTTGCAGAGTACAGAAAACTGCTTGCACGTCTTCAGTGCTGCATAAGCAAAACAACATAACCTTGGGACTCTAACAAAGTCCCACATATAGCATTTTTTAAAAAAACCTTTTTATTGTGATTTGGATGAATTCTGACAAAGCCGATTCATTTTACCTTCGTTTTACTGTTCATACACATTTTGTTTTGTGACACTGGTTACAATCCCCACAGTGTAACAGCTCTCCTCGCATTTCCTCCCTGCGGCCGCCCTTTCCCTGTGTCCTTCTTTCCTCTGCATTCCTGCCTCCCTGCCTTTCTCCCTGAGCAATGCTGCCCTTCTGGTCTCCCGTGGTTGGCTGTTCTAAGGAGTGCATCTCCCTGGTGCACGTGTTCAGCTCGTAGGCCTGTCTGTTGTTTGGCTGAGAGTTAAGCCATGGGAGTGAGTTCCGTTCCAGGCTTGAAGGTGACTTGGGGCCATAGTCTTGGGGGTTCCACTAGGCTCTATCAGACTAGTAAGCCTGGTCTTCCTCACCCCCCACGATGATTTTGCGTTTTGTTCCACACTTTTCTCCCATTCTATCCAGGGTCTCCAATTTTGATTCCTTTCTAAGTGGTTGGCATTGGTAGCCAGGCACCATCTAGTTCTGGTGTTGGAGTTGTAAAGGCTGTGGTTCCTGTGGTGGTTAAGGTTGTTGTCAGCTTGGCGGGGCCTGGCTGAGGGGCTGGGCAGCTGGATGCAGTATCCCCGTGATGAGATTGGCCATCGGCTCCACGGTGGAATCTGTGGGAGCAGCTGAGTAGCTGCCTTAGGGGTGTGGGCTGCTTCCTGTAAATAAGGAGAAGCCTTGGGGAACAGTCTCTAGCTTATGGCACGCTTGGACGCTGGCTGCCGGTAGCCCTGTCGTTCAGCAGCCTGCCATGCTCTGCCAACCTTGGGGCTTTCAATGCACTTGAATGAATGGCCTGCTGTGAGGTTTGGTAATATTGGAACTGTGTCTCAACAGCCAGCAGATGAGTGAAGAAAGTCCTCTAGCTTCAGTGCGTGGGGAGCAGGAGGCAGAGCTAGACTCCAAAGCTGAGGGGCTTTCACCAGCCCCTAGAGCCTGGCACTTTGAACTCGGACCTAAAGCCTCCCAACTGAGAGCCTAAGCTCCTGTTTGTTCAAGCATCCCATCTGTGGCACATTCCTGTCAGAGCGGCACTAGGGAACCAGAACAGCTCCCATGGTCCGTTAGTCGTTGCATGAACTGTTTCCACGTGTCTTTGATTTTCTCCACTCTTCTTTGCTCCAGACAAGGAGAGACCAGTGGTTGCCTCTTAGGTGGCCGCTCGCAAGCTTTTCAGAGCCGGTCACTACTCACCACAGGAAGATGCAGAGCAATATTTGTGAAGACCGTGCTGTGCCAGTTGAGCTTGGTGCCCTCAGACACAGCGAAGGTTGAGAGGTGGTGCAGGACCTGGCGGGTTGGCTCAGTCGTGCACAGGGTCGCTGGAAGTCAGAACCGACCTGAGGGCATTTGACAGCAACAAGGACAACAGCTTCGATGGGAGCACATCCTCAGGTCTCTCTCCGGAGAAGCCACTGGGAGGGTTTGAACCACCAACCTCTTTGTTACCAGCTGAGCGCTTAACCACGGTGCCACCAGGGCTCCTGACCCACTGATCCAGGAGTTAGAATTCCCACACATGTTTGGGAGGCCACAATTCCCCCCACAACACATGGGAGGGGACCTCCTGCTCTGGCATTCCTGGTAGGAGGTGGAGCCGTGCCCCTCCTGCTCCGTTTGGGGCTGGCCGGCTGTGGAGGGACAAACCTTTGGCCTCCTTGAACCCCTCTGCGTCCGCCTGTTGCTTCACTTTCCCTGAGTTTCCATTCCCGCGACCCGGGTCCTCCTCCCCAGCTCGCCTCCCTCCTGGGTCCCGTCCATGCGCCCAGGGCCCCGCCACCCCCTCCCCGACCTCTGCCCCAGGCACTCGTCTGCAGGTGGCTTACTCTGACACAGCCCTGCCCCCTGCCTTGCCCTGGAGCCCCTTCCCTCTGCCTGGACACCCCTCGCTCCTGTTCATGGCAGGTTCACCCCCAGGCCGCCAGTGGCCTCAGGGCCCACCTTTCTGCCCCTTTGTCCCATGGTTCTGGAGAACCCACCCTCCCCGCTCGGTGGCCTTGTCTCCTGGCAGCCCCCTCTCCACCGATGTGCCATCTCAGAGGTCACCAACGCTCTTTGCTCTCAGTCTTCTGTCCTGTTAGTCCATCTGCACTACCTGTCTGTCATTCACAGCTGGACTGAACCCCAGGACACAGGCCTCAGTGGGAGCTGTTCCCCAGCAGGGCATGGGCCTGAATGGGACCCCTCTCACCTCCCAGGACCCGGCCCTGGGTAGGACTGGTGCACCCCTCGCAGGGCACAGGCCTGGGCAGGACTGCCCCGCAGGATGCAGG